GGGGGGGGGGGGGGGGGGGGGGGGGGGGGGGGGGGGGGGGGGGGGGGGGGGGGGGGGGGGGCGAGGAGGCGGGAGGCGGAGGGACCCTGCAGGACCGCCCGGAGCGCCAGGCTCGTCTCCGCAAGGAAGGGCAGAGGAGAGTTGGACCGCTCCGTCCGGCGGGGTCCTAGATCTGCCGGTCTGTCGGGACTGGCAGGCACTATGGGCGAGGGTGGTGCCTGTCCCCACCCCAGAGCCCCCATCTCCCACCCTCATTAATCACATTCCCCTGGTTGTCCCTTGAGCCTTGGAATGAACTTCAACTAGAGAAAGTAGATAGTAGTTTTTATGAGCTTGTTCCATCCCTACCCCCCGCCCCCCGCAGAAAGTCTAAAGTCTTTCTGCTGAGAAAGTCCTATTAGCAGCTGTAGGGCCATTTTTTCTTTTTTGCAAATCTGAAAAAAGGAAGAATATGATTTATAAGAGTCTGGGTGTGAGATAAATAAAACAATGAACATCTCCAATGAAGGAAACATGCACAGGGGTTGCTTCAAGGGAGTGGAGAGGATGATCAGACCTGCCTGCAGCAACCTGTCAAGCACCCAGTGGGACCAGGTTCTTCACTTAGGTCATCACCCTGCCAAGTGGCAGGTTGTGGGCCTGCCATTTTACAAATGGGGAAACCGAGGCTCCAAGAGTTGATGGTAACGTTCCCAGTAAGCATGCAGAGGGAGTCTGAACCCAGGTTTGACCTACTGCACTTGCTCACCCTGCTCTTTTGCAGCCCGAGGCACTTCGGTGTGGTCAGAGCCTGTTAGGGCTGGCCTGTCAGATACGAGCTGTCTTATGTTTCCCTCCCTCAGACAGGAGGAAACCTAGTTCTCACCCAGACTCTGCCTGTGAGGCTCCTGGGGAAGCAGATTCCTGGAGTTCTGTCTTGGGATTTGACTAGCAGGTCTGGGTATGGCTCTGGAATCGGCACCTACAGGGCTTCAGGGTGACCGCTCAGGGTGGGCACTGAATCTGCATGAAGGTTAGCAGTGCCAGCAGACACTGTCTTTTCAGATAAAGCAGATCTTTGTCAGTTTATAAATCAGCCCCTGTCTGGATGCCCCTTGGGTGTGCTTTGAGGCAAATGTCTGAGAAAAGACCCTGCATGGTTGCTATTTGGAAAGTTAAGCCCCTGGCTTTGGGATAAAGGTGTCCAGCCTCTGTGATGGCCTATCCTTCAGGTGTGCAGGAACCACCTCATCTTTCTGCCCATCTGAGCCACCTGGAGAGTGGCAGGACCGAAGGCCCTAGTATTAGACCTCAGACCCCACACTCTTGTCCCGGGCTGGGTCTCCAGTGACCCTCCTTTGTGGTTCATTCCAGAAGGCCTGAGATGTGAAAGGCACTGGCCTGGTCAGTTATAGACTAATGTTTGGTTCTAGTCCTACTGCGGATTCACCATGTGACCTAAGCCAGTAGTTCGCCCCCACAGGACCTCAGTTTCCTCATCTGTAAAATGGGAGTAGGTGCCCTGCCTCCCAGAGTGGTTAAACATAGTTTTACAGTTTAGTTATAGGTGAAACACTGGACCCAAGCATGGCACCATAATAGTGACTCACCCCCAAATACGGGCTCAGTCTTGGGCTCTCTCTCCATCCTTCGCTCCCTGCAGCCACTTTCTTGGTGAGTTCATCTACTCCTATGGCTCCTGCCGGGCGTCACCTCTGTGAGGGTTTCTCTGCAGTCTTGGTCCTCTGTGGTCCCACAGAGGGGAGGTTGAGGACTGGTGCTGGACACAGAGTGCTGAGCCAGGGATGGTGGGCAGAATTCTAGTTTCCATCGCTCAGTTATTTGATCGAACACAATCTACAGACTGCTGGGCCGGGACTTTGCAGGTGGAATTAGGCTTCAAATCAGCTGATTTGGGGGGATTATCCTGTATTTGCTGAGAGGTCCTGATGTAATCACAGTGGCCATTCAGAGCAGAAGAGGAAAGCGGGAGGCTCAGAGAGAGGAGGCAGAGGGAGGTCAGAGCTCTTTGAACCATGAGAAGGACACTACCCACCATGGCTGGATTTGACGGGGGCCCTGAGCCAAGGACTGTGAGTGGCCTTTAGAAGCTGGGAATGACCCCAGCCCACAGCCAGTAAGGAAACGGAGACCTCAGCCCCACAACCACATGGAGCTGAATTCTGCCAACGACCTCAATCAGCTTGGAAGCAGATTCGTCCTGCGGCATCCGCCGGAAAGGAAGGCAGCCTTGCTGACCTCTTGCTTTCAGCTGTATGAGACCTGGAGCAGAGGAACCAGCCAAATCCATGTGGACTTTTTTTTTTTCCGGGCACACCACGTGGCAAACAGGATCTTAGCTCCCGGACCAGGGGACGAACCTGTGCCCCCTGCGGTGGAAGCATGGGGGTCTTAACTGCTGGACTGCCGGGGAAGTCCCTCCACGTGGACTTCCGACCTCTCTACCTGTGAGGTAATAGATTTGCATTGTTTTAAGCCTCTTAAGTTTGTAGTATTCTGGTCCGCAGCAATAGGAAACCAGTACATCTGGTGAAATGCTCAAGCTGACTGGTGTCTCTGGTGATAGAGGGCTGGGCCTGGTCTCGGGCTCCTGTGCCCCATTTTTGCACTTCTGGAGTCTGGGGAGGGCAAGAGGGGAGAGCAGGCCTTATCCTCCACACCCAGGAGTCATTATCTCCTCTAGGGATGTGTTAGACTCAGTGCCGAGAGCTTTACATGAATGAACTTTCTTAATTCTATTGATGCTTTCCCCCATGACATAGATGAGGTGACTGAGACACTTAAGTAACTCATCTGTGGTCCCACAACTAATAAGTAAGAGAGCTGGGGTTTGAACCCCTGGCTAACTGAGTCCAGAGTTCTCCACAGGAGTGGGCAGCTGCTCCACGGAAGCAGGTGAATGAAACTGAGCCTGGAGGCCTGCCTGCCTTCCTGATTGTCCAGGCCTAGAGTTCCCTGAGGCATCAGCAGAGCTCAGGCATCCAACCAACCGCAGCTCCTGGAATCCTCAGTCAGCGCCTCCTTCTTACTGTTCTAGGAATTATTGCCCACCCCACCTCCACTGATCCTTTTTCTTTAGGCCAAATCTGCTGGTCATTCCCCTCTTCCCCTCAGAACGTTATCCCCTCCCAGGCTATTACCTACGGCTTTAACTGGTTTCCCAGATCACTTGTCAGAGTCAGCATCCTGGCAGGAAAACGCGGCCCCTCACCAGATTCATTATATCTCTGCCCTCTACCTCTAGCATCTTGTAATAATAATAATAATTGCCATAATAATGTACTATTTACAATAACTACCATTTACAGGGATTTTGTTCTTTAACGCTCATAACAGCCCTGTGAAGGTTCTTTGAGAATACACACAGCCACTTTCTGGATAAAGAAATTAGATTTGGAGAAGTTAAGTAGGTCTGCTGGTAGGTGATGGAGCTCTTTTCACACCCACATGCTGATTTTACATAGTAGGTAAGCAGAGGTTTGGTTAAGTGGTTTGGGTGGATGACGGTCTGTAAGGATGCATAAGTGGATGAATGGATGGAAGTAGGGATGGATGGATATACGGGAAAATGGCTTTATGGTTGAAAGACTAAATGGATGCTTGGTTGGAAAGAAGGAAGGATGGATGGATGGATGGATGAATGGGATGGATGGGTGGGGGCTTCCCTGGTGGCGCAGTGGTTGAGAGTCCGCCTGCCGATGCAGGGGACACGGGCTCGTGCCCCGGTCCGGGAAGATCCCACGTGCCGCGGAGCAGCTGGGCCCGTGAGCCGTGGCCGCAGAGCCTGCGCGTTCGGAGCCTGTGCTCCGCAACGGGAGAGGCCACAACAATCAGAGGCCCGCGTACCGCAAAATAAATAAATAAATAAATAAATAGATAGATAAATAAATAAATGGAGGCAGGGTCAGAAGAAGCCTCGCTGAGGGATGGATGGGTGGGTGGATGGATTCGATGGGTGGGTGGATGGATGGATGGGTGGAAGGATGGATGGGATGGATGGATGGATGGATGGATGGATGGATGGGGATGGGTGGAAGGATGAATCATTGGCTATAGAGATGAGTGAGCAGAGAGTTTATAGAGTGGGAAAGGTAACAAATGCAGGAGGTGTTTAAGTCTTCATCAAAGAGCTACTTTGGGTGGATTGTAATATGAAGTTGGACCTCTTGCTAGCTCCATTGGTGATGAGGAGACATCCTGTTTAGCTATCTTGGTTATTTCTCTTGCCCTGAGTCAGAGAAGTCAGCCTGACAATGTCCTCCAACTGCATGAGAAGGCGTTGTTTGTACCCTAAGAAGTCAGGGAACATGGGAACCACCACTGGTTTGGTTTTAAGCCCTGAAGATGCTGTATTCACATCCAAGGAAGTGTGAAGGCTTGCAGAAAAGTCCAGAAGCTGTGTTTCATTATGGCCAGGATTGGGGTGAAGGCAGGAAGGTTATGTTGAGCAAGTATAGGGTTTGATCATGTCATTGTTTTGTTTCTTCATGTGTGGTATTTTGTTCATCATAGGTTTTTGCATTAATTTTTGTTATTTTAAAATATTACATGAAAATACTATGCAATAAAAATATCATGACTGAGTTTTTTGGACCTCCCTTAAATGTTGCACCTGAGGGGGTATGTCTCATTTCTTTCACCCTCGTCCTGGCCCTATGACGGGGCACCAGTTTCTGGACTTTTCTGTAAGCCCCTGTACTCCCGTGCAGGGGAAACTTATCCCTGTTCGGTTGGCTACACTCTTGCATCTGCGGGAGGCAGGAACTCAGGGGCTGGAGTCCAGAGCGTGTCTGCCTCCAGGGCCTCCTTCAGTCACTTGTTGTTCACACATTCTCCCTGTCTACACTCCTCTGTTGTCACTTAAGACCTTCTATGGTATATCCCTGCTCTGTTTGCAGCGTCCACTGCCACTGCACTCCTCACCAGTCCACAGGTGAGCTCCCTGTCCTGGGCACAGCCCTACCTCCACCCCCTCCTCCTGCCTTGTCCTCTTGCCTCCACAGAAACTTCCTCTTCCTGATCTCCTGAATTAATCATCTGCCTCACACACTTGATGCTCTGTCCTCTACTATTTTGGAGAGTGTCCTGCAGGGCTGGTTGATTTTCAGCCAGTTTGCACCCTTTTGGCCGTTAGTCTGAGTGGTCAGTACTCATGCCATACTGGTGGTTAAATATTTTGAAAATCAGGTTTCCGGTATCTTGCCCTCCTCTGTGAAATGGAGGTAAAAATACCCAGGAGCTCGAGCTCAGACACAGAGCCTAACACGCTGCAAGCTGGACAGAAACGGTAGCAGTAGCAGTCGCTGTTGTTATTTATTGAGTCAGATAATAAAACGCTGGTGGCTTTAAAGGTGATATGTGAAGGGCTTCGGATCCTGGCTGAGAGACGTTTGGAGGTGCTGTACTCCCCTTCTGATGAGGCTTCCGGGTGCCATGAGAGGGCTGGAGAGAAGCAAGAATGGGTGTACGGGTTTGTGGGTGGACACGAGGCTTGGCGGGAACCAAAGAGAAAGCACAGCAGTTGGGGCCGTGGGGAGGCTCCAGACCTGGAAGGCGAGCAGCCGGTTTGCCAGGACCCTGTCCCGTGTGAGCAGGACATACCTGACTTCCCTTGCCGGCAATAAGAAATGGGCCTTGACTGTCTCTGGGCCACGAGTCACTTGATCTGAGTGTGGGTAGTAATTGCACACTAAACATACATTATGGCGTGTGCTGTGATCAGTGCTGATAAGGGGCTGTCTGACTGAAAATAGAGTCAGGTGGGCCAGAGGGAGTCTGCCTGATTTCACCATCAAGCCCTGTTGTGGTACCTCTGGGTGACTCCCCGGCCAGCCACTCAGGGACCCTGGCAGGCCCCTCCCACCTGCCACCTGCCTGGTCCCCTCTCTCCCTGGACGCCTCACCAGACTTGCTCAGCCATCGCTCAGACTGTCCCTCATCTGAGACACCCAGGCCCCCCACTCTTTGCTCAGCTAGAAACCTTGGGTTTCTAGCCCTTCAAGGCCCAGTTTGGGACAGTGCCTCTAAGAAGCTCTCTCTGAACAACCCCCTGCCCCCCTTTCTTTTTTTACTGTTTTTTTTTAATTTCAAATGAAGTGAAATCAATATAGTATACAACTAATCATTTTAAAACATATAATTCAGAGTTATCCCACTAACTGATATAATTTCTGATCACATCTGGAGCACTTTTTAATGAGCAGACAGTTACATTCAGTTCTTTCTTTTTTTTTCTTTTGAGGTGAAATTCACATAACATGAATTAACTATTTTATTTATTTTTATTTTTTAATTTTTGGCCACATCACGTGGAATGCAGGATCTTAGTTCCCCAACCAGGGATGGAACCCATGGCCCCTGCAGTGGAAGCATGGAGTCTTAACCACTGGACCACCAGGGAAGTCCCATGAATTAACCATTTTAAAGTGTAGAATTCAGAGGCATTTAATGCCTACAGAACACTGTGCAACATTGTGCGGTACCTCTCTCTAGTTTCAAAACTTTTTTTTTTTTTTTTTTTTTTTTTTTGTGGTATGTGGGCCTCTCACTGTTGTGGTCTCTCCCGTTGCAGAGCACAGGTTCCGGACACGCAGGCTCAGCGGTCAGGGCTCACGGGCCCAGCCGCTCCCCGGCATGTGGGATCTTCCCGGACCGGGGCACAAACCCGTGTCCCCTGCATCGGTAGGCGGACTCTCAACCACTGCGCCACCAGGGAAGCCCCACGCCAGATCTTTAGTTGCTGGTACGTGGGATCTTTTAGTTGCGGCATGTGGGATCTAGTTCCCTGACCAGGGATTGAACCCGGGCCCCCTGAATTGGGAGCACAGAGTCTTAACCACCAGGGAAGTCCCAAGGCAGGGACCTTGACTGCATTGTTCATGGCTAAGTCCACAGTGCCTAAGATGACCCGAAACAGTCAGGGCTCTACAGATAGCTCATGGTTAGCAAGTGCTTGTCCTGTGCTCATCACCTCGGTGGCAGCTTGTAGCAGCACACTGAATCCTCCCAGCAACCTTAACTGCTTTTCTGTGTCTGACGAAAACAAGCAGTCTTGGAGCCTGTTGGCTGCAGGTCCCAGGGAAATGGGTCTTGCCTCCCAGTGGGCCTCGTGCCTCTCACTGAGGGTTGTGTTCTGGGCCCACCCTTCATGGGTGGTTGTGAGGAGGGGTCTGGGGAGGACCAGGGTGCCTTCCCTGGGGGCATGCCCATACTAGCTCTTCCCCAAACAAGTGTATTCTTTCATGCTTCTGGGATCTCGCTGGTCCCCCTGCCCGGCATGCCCTCCCCGCCACCTGCTTCTGGAAAATCATCCCTACTTATCCCACACCATCCTCACACCTCTGTGGAGCTTTTTCCAATCCCCTCACCACTGTCCTTTCCTCCGTGGTGTCCCCAAGGCACTTCGTGCACCATCCTGTGACAGCGTGGCTCAAACGGTCTGTCTCTCTAGTAGCTTAAAGATGGCTGCACATTCTTTGTGGCTCTTCCCATCAAGAGAAGGTGCTTGATTCTCTTCCCCTTGTGACCAGGCTGGCCTTGGTGATGTGCTGGACCAATAGAACACTGTGGGTGTGATGTTCTGGGAATTCTGAGCCTAGGTCAGAAGAAGCCTTGCAGCCTCTGCCTGAGTCTCTAGGAAGGCTGCTCTTTGGACCCAGCTGCCATACTGTGAGAAGCCCAAGCCACGTGGAGAGGCCACGTGTGGATGCTCTGGTTGACAGCCCCAGCTCAGCCCCCAGCTATGGGAGAGCACCATCTTGGACACCCCGTCCAGTCGAGCCTTCAGATGACTCCAGCCTCAGCTGCTCTGTGACTGGCACCTCACAAGGGACTCCAAGCAAGAACCACCAGCTGGGCCCAGTCAACTCACGGAACTGTGAAAGATTGTTTTCAGCCATCACATTAAGTTTTGGAGTTATTTGTTCCTGCTGCAATAGAGAACATCAGCAGTCTCCCTCATCAGACTATGAGTACCCCCCAAAAGCAGGGATTCTGCCCTTATCACTCTAGATCTCTGGTCTGAGTCCAGGGCCTGATAAGGACCAAGTGCTCATCAAATATCCCTTGCGTGAATAAATGAAACCCATTAAAATTCCACCGTTCACCCTGAGATAGAATAGATTTATTAGCAAGAGGTAATCAGGAAACATATATTTTTACAAAAATGGAAATTTCTTTTTTTTTCCAAACAAGCTGTAAGTTGAAATATTGTAGGACTTGAAATAGAATTCTCATACCACTAGGTATTGCTTACAGCAAAAGTTGTCTGTTTGTCAGAGTGGAGCATGCCTGCCACTTCAGAGTTAACCTGTGTTTTCTATACTGTACAATGTAAAAAATAGATGGTAATATTCACAGAATAAGCACTGCAGTACTATATTCCTGCTAGAAGGCATTTAGACAGGACTACAGTATATGCAATAAAAACACTTGGTTATTGATTTCCTAATTCTACAGTGTGGTACTATTTTTCACAAGGCATACAGACTTGGAGCATCTCAACGTAAGCTTGTAGTGACCGTTAGGCAGCTCATAGAGGACAAGTGACATTTTTGTGTGTTCCCGACTCGCAGTGAATGCTGGGCAGCCGTCGGCAGAAGTCGACATGACTTTGTGTTGTGATTCTGTTTTCCTCAGGAAGTTCCAGGGCCTTGTCCAGGGTTATCGAGACTGCTAGTCCCGCTACCTGGTTTTATTCTCAGAGCCAGGAGCGACGTGGTGCCTGAACGAGGTGGTGGCCTCAGTGTCGCAGGGCGTGGTTCTCAGCGGACAGGACTCCTTTCCCTCCAGGTCACTGGGAGACACGGAGTTTTGAGACCTGCGATTTTGGCTGAAAAAGCTGCTTTGGAAATTGGCATCACCGTCAGTGGGAAGATTTGTCGATGGCTGGACTTCAGGGTACGGTTCCCCCTCCCGCCTCCCCCCCTACCCCCCACCCTGTTATAACAGCTACATGGAACATGCCGGAGGATGCTGGGTGGCCAGCTCAACCCAGGGGCCTGGGCTGGGGACGGACAGAAGCAGGACTGGTGCCAAAGATTCGTGTATGCACGGATTCTGTTTTCCCTTTGGGGGAGAGTGAGGGGCTGGGAAGAACAGACTAAGAGTACAGTTGTTTCAAAGAAACAGGCACTGCAGGAGACGAGGGATGGGGTGCGTGGACCAAGTCCTAACCGGTGCAGAGATTCATATTTTGGTTCTACAGGAATCTAAGAACAAGAACGGATTTGTATTCTTGGAGAAGCACATACTAAAGAAGAAAACCCAGAGAAACCAAACGACTATGTACAATATCATATAGCATGTGTCCATGGCGGTGGGCTGGGTACAGCTTCAGGTGGGGAGTTTTGGTTCTATTCGGAGAGAACACTTGTAGAGACTTTCTTCGTCCATTACAAAAGATTGGTCCAGTAAATATTGGGTTACCTGAGAAAAAGAAAAGAGAAAAAGGAATGGCAGGGCGATGGGACCTCTATAACACTACGTGGACGTCAGGTGTCTCCAGGGAATCAGGCACTAGGGTGGAGGCGGGGAGGGGTGTCAGGCTTGCACATGAGGCAAAGATGCATTAAGCAGTGTTGTCTCTTTGTATTATTTTTCTTAGTATTATTTTTTGCCTTTTTTGTCTTCACAGTAATATAAAATCACATATAGTCAAAATTACTCTTGGGCTTCCCTGGTGGCGCAGTGGTTGAGAGTCCACCTGCCGATGCAGGGGACACGGGTTCGTGCCCCGGGCCGGGAAGATCCCACACGCTGCGGAGCGGTTGGGCCCGTGAGCCGTGGCCGCTGGGCCTGCGCTTCCGGAGCCTGTGCTCCGCAGCGGGAGAGGCCACAGCAGTGAGAGGCCCGCGTACCGCCAAAAAAAAAAAAAAAAAAAAAAAAAAATTACTCTTGACCACCGTTTCTTTGGTTGAACATTAGGTGAAATATTTTGGGCTCATATTAAAAAATGATCTCTATCTACATGTCTAAAATGTCAATTGTAGCATCTAGGTAGTGGATGTACGGGTGTTCACAATTCTTTCAATGTTTCTGTATGTTGGAAAAACGTAGTTAAACACCAGGTTTATGTAACACCGAGAGAGATTCACCCAAGAGAAGACAGTGGAAACTGAGGCCGTGTAAGGAAAGAGCCTCCCTTATTTTTCGTCTCACGAGGCTCACTCCAGGGCAAAATCTCAGAGTGGAAAATCAGGAAGAGTCACCTCGTGGACTCCATCCCTCTCCTTCCTCCTCCCTCCCCAGTTCACACTGCTCTCAAGTGTTTTGCTGGATTCCCGTGTGTTGAATGTACGATGAGAGATCAGAGCCCAGATCTCATAGGCAAGCCCCACCCGCCCTTCGAAAAGAATCTTTCCAAGGCTCATTGACTTGTCAGTTGTTTGGAGCCGAAGGTTCATGTTTTTCCACAGAAACTCAGAGCAGAAAGAAGAAAACACATAATATTTCTTAGCACGTAATTGGGAATCTTCTGATAGCTGCTTGAGAAAAATCAAGTCTTTGTTGCGAGCATCTTTGCTAATGGACCCTCTGCTACTGTGAGGGACAGAACCGGCTTCCTATGATGCTGATCACCAGTCACAGATGAAATGATTATTGTATCTGATTAATGGCTCTCACCCAGCACCTCTAGGAAGACAACCTCAGATACCACCGTCTAGATTAACTCTCATGTCCACTGATAAAGATGTGGCGATTTTACAGCCATGTGAAATAGACCAGACTTTTATAAATAGCTAGTAGCTTCCTGTGAACAGCCCTTTCTAGAGCACAAAACCTCAACCCTCCCAAACACTCTGGGAATCAGCAGACTGGTTAGTTAGTTTCCTCCGTCATGAGCATTTGTTTCCCTAAAAATTTTGCTTTAGCAGGAGACTGGCAGCAAATACCACCAGTGCAAAGCTGTTAAGGAAAAGAGTCTGAAGGGCAGTAACATGTATTTGTATTGCATATGGAGCTCGAGGGCTAGTTTAAGAAGGGGCCAAGGCCTAATACAGTGCCTGGCACACAGTACATGCTCAGTAACTACTTGAGCGAATGAAGGAACAAGATAAAAGTGGCACAATTGGCTAACCCACTGATTTTTCTTCTCTTTGTGGCTATCAGCTCTAAGACAGATAGTGAGTTCACAGAACATGGCAGGAAACGGGGCAAGTCTATCACAAAGGAAAGTAGAAGGGAAAAATACTAAGGGCTTGATTTTCTGGTATGTTCAGGAGTGTGTCTGGAGCTGGATATTTTTTGTGAACTTCAAACTAGGAGGTTAAGAAGCTGGATGGAGAGCAAATACATCTCTGGGCAGCGTAAAAAAGTCATAGGATTCGGAGCCAGAGTCTGGATTAGCAAGTCCCAGTTATTTTAACTGTAAAATGGGGCTAACGGCACAGGGTTTGAGTAGTGAAATGAGACTAATATGCCAACCTCTCTCCATACAGCCCCACCATCTTTTAAAAAATGCCTATTAATCCAGTCCTGTAAGCTCCTTTCAGGGCTTCCCACTCTCCTTAGGACACGGCTCCAGATCCTTCTAGAAGCCCACAGTCCCACCTGGTTCAGGCTTGTCTGAGGCTACTCATAGCAGCCGTCTGCGGTCTCTGTGCTTCTCAGATGGGCCCTGTCCCCCAACCCCAATACAGGCCCCTGGATTCACACTCTCACAGCACTCTCTGATTCCCGAATGTACGAGGTGTTTTTTCCCCACCTTGTCTATAGCAGCAAAAGACTGAAACAACCTAAATGTCCATCAGTATAGAGGATCAAATAAGTACATGAATTTCTCTGCAGCCGTAAGGAAGAAGCAGAATGCCTCTGCCTCAACAGGAAATATCTCCAAGCTATGTTATTAAGGGAAAAAAGAATGATGCTGAAGCAATGTATAGTATGCTACAGTATACACTATAGTAAAAAAAAGTTGGGGTGTGTTTGCATACACACACAAAAAATGGGTGATACGGTTGGCTTTGGGAGGGGAACTTGGAGGCTGGGGGACTTTTTGCTGTGTGCCCTTTCTAGCTGTGAATTTTGAAACTGGTGAGCAGTTTGAAAAGATGTGATAAACACTGCCTCTCCTGCCTCAGGGGAGGTCAGACATGATTATAAACCATCCCATGGCAGGTAAAAATCAGACAGGAGCTGAAAGATTAGCACAAGAGCAGTCCAAAGAAGAGGGAGCTCAGGGCGGGCCAGGGGCCAGGGGACAAGAAGGGTTTCCTAAAAGAGAGGGCCCAGGGAACTCAGGGGCAGAAAGTGGTTGGGTGTGGAGCGGAAAAGGCAGGAAGGAAGGCAGTGCAGCCAGAGCACTTGTGAAAAAGCGGAAGTGACTGAAAATGCTGCCAGCTTACCTTTGCTTGGTGCTCTATTTTGTAGGCAGTTTGTTGAAACTGGCGAATCTCTCGGATGATATGGGATATCTGCGGGAAGGAAGGAGAGGTTTGGAAGACAGTTTTCTCTTAGTATCCCCTCCCCCGACCCCCCCTCCCAACCCGTGCCACAGAACAGAAGGGACATCAACAGCCATGTCTGCAGTCAGTCTCTTAATTCACCTCCTGGGACACCCCACTGAGGCAGCGAGAGTTTCTTTAAACCAGAAACCTGCCTCAAAGGCTGACACTTGGTAAGAATCTATAAATCTACAGGTTATAAGTTATAACATAGAGTATTTGTCCTTCTCTGACTTATTTCACTAAGTATAATACCCTCTAGGTCCATCCACATTGTTGCAAATGGCAGAATTTCATGCAATTGATTTATTTATTGAACTATAGTTGATGTACAATATTATATAAGTTACAGGTGCACAATATAGTGATTCACAATTTTTGAAGGTTATCCACTTATAGCTATTATAAAATATTGGCTATATTCCCCGTGTTGTACAACATAATCTTGTAGCTTATTTTATACATAATATTGGGTTGGCGAAAAAGTTCGTTCGGTTTCAAGGGAAGACACATTTTTCATTTTTACGAAGAACTTTACTGAACAACGTATTCAGTAACCGAACGAACTTTTTGGCCAAAGCAATAGTTTGTACCTCTTAGAATTTCCTTCTTTTCTATGGCTGAATAACATTCCTCTTTCTCCGTGTGTGTGTGTGTGTGTGTGTGTGTGTGTGTGTGCGCACGCGTGTATACACCACATCTTCTTTATCCAGTCACATAATCTTTAAAAATACTGAATTACTATGTCATATACCTGAAACTATCACAATATTGTAAATGAACTATACCTCAATAAAAAAGATGTATATTCTGAAAGGTAAAAGGTATATTTAGTAGGATCACATGACAGATGATGAAGAAAGAATTGTTTTAAAGACTCAGAGACGATACAGTAAAAGAAAATTACCAATCATTTTCTCTGAGTAATGAAAATAAATGAGTGATTTTTGTTGCTAAAAAAAAAAAAGAATCTATAGGTTAATTATACTATGTGATTAAGAGAAAAACATATCATTTGATCAGTGGTGCTGGCTTATCCAACATCCTAAAACAGCCCCCCTCAGTTCCAGCAACAGCTAAAGGCCTCTGCCACTTTCTACATGCCCACCATGTGAAAGACCACACAAAGGGGCTCCCCCATCCTGTTCCCAGGTCAGTGCTGCCAACTTGCCTTTGACAGAGAAACCTTACCTATTGAACAAAATCTTAGGAGGAACCCCGTGACACAGAACCGATACAAATAGAGGCTCTCTAGTTGGAGTGAGAAGGCGAGAAGGTTGGCTGGAAAGCTGGCTCCCTGCTGGAAGGATCCTCATCTCCCCTCCCAGGGCCTAGACTCCTCTGGGGAAATTGGAAACCTACTTGCTTAGGAGGTGCTGCAGAAATGATTTTGCTGCGGCCACATAACGCAAGTGCTTATCTGAACAATAATGGATGGGGTGCGAGTAAAGGGGCAGGCTTTGGAGTCTGACAGACTTGGGCCCCAGACCCGCTCTGCCTTTTCCTTAGGGGTGACCTTGGGCTGGTCATTGATTACTCCAAGCCTCAGCCTGCTCACCTGTAAGGTGGAGAATAATAAGAGCACCCAGCCCTCAGACTGTGGGCATTAAAGGAGCAGATGCAGGTAGCGCTGGCTCAGGGCCTGCCAGATGCTAGCTGCTCGTTTGAGGAAGTGACTGTTCTTACTGGAGAAGCCGGGTTCAGGCTCCCCAGTGTGTGTGCTATGTCCAGTCGGCCAGGACCGTCGGGCACAGCTCGGGTGAGCCTGGGGCTTGGGTCTGGGTTTTGATGTTCCCCCCACCCCTGCCCCGCTCTGCTGTGGGGAACGCACCATTCTCATCTTGGAGAAGTTGACCAGGCCGTCCTCCGTGTAGTTGGGCGTCCCCTCTTCGATGAAGGCCAGGTCAGTGAGGTACATCCCCAGGTAAGGGACACAGGGTGGGTCACAACTTTGAAGCAAATGGCATTAACAGAAGTTTTTCACTTAAAAACTCGAGCCTCTACCAAGAACAGAACACCCCGCATGCATCTCTCGCTTTGCTGGAGGGAAAGGGATTTCTATTCGCCAAGAGTAATAGCAGCTCTTGGGGCTCGGATTGCCAGCTGGGTGTGAGGGTCAGTCCTCCGGGGTGGTGGGGGTGACATGGTGCCTGCTGGGGCCTGGGGCGTCTCATTCAATCACCCCTCCCACCCCAAGCCAGAAGGTCCTCCTCTACCTCTCTGCTCTCCCTCCCAGATGGAGCCCTGGGGCTTGGCCGCCAGCACCCTCCCAGCTCGCCTTTCCTTTCTGTCTCTCCACTGAAACTCTCCATCCCAATCCCGCCGTAGAATCACATCCTGGGGGGCTTCACAGCACCGTGCCCTTTGCTGCCAGTCACCACCAGCCACCCCACCGAGCCCCTTGTCTCTTTCTTTCCCCAAGACTTCTCTCCCTTTACTTCCTCCCATTGGGATCTCTGCCCACCCAAGCACTGGGCTGCCAGCGCAGGGAACCCTTGCCCTCTGAGATCACCATCCTGGATTTGGCTTCTGGGCGGGGGCGCTGGGTGACACGGCTCCCACGATCGGTGGTTCCTGGGGGATGGCTTTCGTGGGGATGGTACTCAGCAGTATGGGCCGGACCTCTCTGATCTGTGGCTCTGCAGCAGGGGCTCCCGTTACTGTTCCTGGTGCCTCTGCGTGGGGTGCTAGGCTAAGGGGGTGACTCTGTGATGGGTCCAGTGGTCACTCTACTCTGGCACAGCTCCAGATAGTTCGCCCAGGGGACTCCTCGAACAGTGCTCCGGAGCCTTCTCTCAGCTCAGCACGCAGGTACAGGGACCTGCCTTTCTAGCCCATCTCACCTTTGTCTCCTTGTGGCAGTCCTGCCACTCCAGAGGAAGGGGAGGCAGGGAGGATGGTAGAGCAAGAACAGAAACCTGGCCTCTGTCCCTTGCCTGCTTGCTGTGTGACCCTAGGCCAGTTCTTTCCCTCTCTGGTCCTCAGGTTCCCCTCGTACCAGAGAACTGATGTTAGCTAAGACAATTTTAAGTGATTTGAGAGTTGATTTTAGGTGATGCCCAGACACTGTTTAAATAAATTGATTCATATGATAAGAAACATTAGATTTTCACTCCCCCCTCCCCCCCCCACCACTGCTCAAGGAGAGAGCTCATTTGGTGACAGCATAGCTTTGACACTTTCTAACACGTGCCGTTTTCCTCTTTTTTTCTTTTTGAACAAATAGTAACAGGTCTCACTCAGGAAACACCAGGATCTGGCCAGAATTAAATAATATTATTTTGATTTCACTGTATTTATTTTTTATGCTAACCTGTGTATTTATGGCAAATACGCTGGTTTCCCATTTGCTGTCATGATATAGAGTTTTCCTTCTTATTTAAATGTATTTCTGGGAAATAGTGAGTTAATTTAAAGGAGACCATTAAGTAAATGCAAATATAGCTGACACATGGATACGGCAAAGTCTTGAAGGAGGTGGATGCTTGGAGTTTGGGAAACAGTGAGCAGGAGAAATGTTTTTTGAACTGTCGGTCTTGACCCTTTCATGGGTGTTAAAACCAATTTGGTGAGTGTTGACCAGATTTTTTTTTTTAATTAAAAAAAAGAGAGAATAGAGGATATCTGGGTTCATTGCATGGACTAAAATTGCTTTGTGAAATTTTTGTTCCTGTTATGCATATATGCATTTGTATATAGGGTCACACTGTCAAATGTAATTTTTTTTTTTACTGTGAGTTGTGAAAAAGAAAAAAAAGCAAGAATCATACTGGTCACTGGCAGACCTCTCTGGGTCCTTCTGGCCATTACAGTCCATGACTGCTACATGCCTGGCTTTTCATTTCCTTTCCGTCAAACTCCAAGTCTGGAGCACAGGCTGGTGGATCTGACAGAGAAAGAGTTCAAAGGTCTGAGTAGCCACTCTGGAGCTGGACGGCTGAGGTAGTGTGCTGACCGGCAGGTTCTGGGGGGCGCTGCACTCCCCCTGCCCTTGATGGGAACCAGGTAGCCTACAGAGCTCGAAGGACCTCTTATCTCAGATAGAGGCAGAAGGGGAGGCCGGGTGCTGCTCGCTGCCTGTGAATGACTGAAGGACGCAGGGTGTTTCTGGATGCCTCACAGGGGCTCTGACCACCCAGACCAGTGAAAAAAGTCTGGGAGTCCTTTGGTCTCCCAGGGATGTGGATCTCCCTGAGGTGTTTACTGGGGTTTCTGATCCAGTTGTGGAAAGGTGATGGACGGGCAATTTAGTCACTGCAAGTGGCACTGCCAGCCCCAGCACCAAACTCTGTTCCTGTTTACTACCTTCATGATGAGGGGTCCAGGGAACACCACCCTTAATTCAGTCATGTACACACACACACACACACACACACGCACACACACGCACACCCAACCAACCAAAATCCAGAGCCACATAGGTAAATATATGGGGCTGTCAGAGTGGCCAGTGTAGGGGGCGGTGGGGACAGGTGTGGGGCACATGGGGCTGGAGGAGGGCCCCCAAAGGGCACCACTGCCTGGAGACAGACCATGCTGAGCATCTGAGCGAGCAGGGGAGCACGGTAGGGGCTTCGTGTAGGCAAAACACCCAACCTATGGCTAGCTCTGAACTTTCCGTGTGGGCATCTGACCCCTGTCAGGAGGGATCCAGCCTTGCCCTGGATCAGGGCGGGGCCAACAAGGCTGAAATTGTGTGCGTGGGGGGGGCGCTTCCTCTTTCGGCAGAGCCCCGCCATGCCTGTGTCTGACGTTTCAGGGAGCAGAAAGAAAAGTGCCCCGTCCCCCATCCTAAAAGCTGCTCCTGGCGTTCCGGGCAGGCCTAGATGTGGTGACACCTGGCATCGGGATCTTGTCTGTGGTTGTTCGGGGCCCCCGCACTTGATGTTTCTACCAAGAAATTCCTGCTAATGTCAAGGGGGATGAAAGAAAGTAACTGGTACCGGCAACTGAAAGCGAGATGCAGCTGCCCGAGGGGCGCTCCACCTGACCCCAGGAAACGGGCGGTGACGGCACGGGTCAGCCCTCTCCTTCACCCCGTCACAGCCGTGGGATGGGCTGCTCTCTCTTATAGGTCTCAGTTCTGGCATGGGGTGCAGGGAAATCAGGTACTCAGGTTATGGAAAAAAAAGTTATTTTTTCTTTCTTTTTTTTTTTTTTTTTTTGGCACTGTGTTGGCAGTGTGGGTGGGACTCGGGGTCCAGTCTTGCTTTCTGCCTCCTGGATACTCCCTGCTCTGTTGTCTCATTAGCAAGAGACTGGGCTTTGCTCTGTGGCCACAGACAGAAAATAAAGATGGAAACGGGTATTTGGCCTTGTCGGAGCCCCTGAGACTCTGGAACTCCAGGACTCTGGATCCATCATATCCATGTAGATAGATGGATGTTCCCCCCGTTTGGAGGTGGCTGCGTGGTGACCTGCTGGTACACTAGCAGACTCGCCCCTCCAGAGCTGTTCCCATCCTCCACTGACGGGAACAGAGGGGAAGGGCTTTCATGGCAGCAGCTAACAGTGAGAGCCCGGCCCCTGCGTTCCTTCTGTGGGCATCCTACTCAAGCTAAAGACAAAGGTGCAGATGAGCCCGTCAGAGGAGACGGACGGGCAAAACCGGAACTGGCCCCCAAAGAGCTGGTGACCACATTTTACTGCTGAACGTAGTTAGCCCTCAGCCAAATGTTGTTGGCTGGAGCTGTGGGAAGGTTCTGGTCCCTGGGCGGCTGAGAGGAGGGGACAGTCTCATGGGTTGGACAAGGGTGTGGTTTGGGGAATGAGAAGGGGAGATAACGTCCATCTGGGGGCGCCCGGGCAGGGGACTGAAGCATTGTAGGTGGGCCAGGGGATATTTAAGAGAGTGGCCAGGGACGGGAGGGAGGATTTGGGGGTAAAGGGAAAAGGTCACGTGCTAGCTCGGCTGCTGGCACAAGGCTGAATGATATAATGACAGGCAAAAAAGGATGCCCAGGACCTCAGAATGGGTCTGAGGACCTACGCAGTGGGGTTCGTCACGGGCTCCTTGTCTGGGCGGGTCACCAGCTGTGCCCACCACCTCACTCCACTCCCTCTGGCCCATCCCCTGCCTGGTGAGACGACCCCCAAACCCTGACACAACACTGCTCTAAGTATAAACCTTAGTGCCTCTGAAGAAAGAGTGCAGACACGTTTGCCCCAATCTGTCCTTCCCCTGCCTGGCTTGGCCTATATCTCCATAAGGCAGGAACCCGGTTTGCATAAAGGTCTTAGCACCCAGATGCCCGAAGGCCACCTCCGCCCCGTGTGGCAGGGAGCAGAGGCGTCTGGGAGAGGCACTTACATAGGCCCACGGGTAACCTGAAAGAGGGAAGACAGTCAGCATGGGGACTCGGACAGAATGGGGGACCACAGACGCGGTGGAGGCAGCGGCGGCGGTGGGCGAGGAAGCCATGTGAAGGAGGCTGATGGAGCAGAGCACCCTGCGGGCGGACGGACAGGTTGGTGAATGCACGGGGGGGTCAGCTCCCCGCAAGCACAGTCCACGGGGGCTCCGCGGAGCCCAGGCGGAGGAGAGACGGCCGGACAGCACAGATGGGTGGAACATCTGTCTGAGGACACAAATAAAGTGGAGATGGTCAAGGCAATGGCACACGGAGCCGGCACAAGGGACAGACCAGGTACGGCAGGAAGAAAACGAGAAAGGCAGACGAGGCTGGCAGGGCGGGTGTGTGGTGTGTCAGAGCCACCGGCGAGGCTGGACGTGCTGGGTGGTCGCGGACTTCAGTGGTCTTGTACTGGCAGTGAGCACGTGATCCCTCGCGGAAGGGAGGAAAGGCATTC